GAGTGCGGGGCGACAGAAGTCGTACCGGAATAAGGAGCGGCGGCAGCAGCAGCAGCAGTAGTAGCAGCAGCAGCAGCGAGGCAGAGCCTGTGGTGGCAGAGTTGAATATGTTCACGTTCCACTGGTCGACACCAGTTTGGAAATGGACTTGGAGAGGAGGTGTTTGGACCTGAGGCTGAGGACAGATGCTGGAGATGTTGGATGAAAAAGGGATGTTGGTGAGAAGACAGAGGAAGAGGAAGGCCTCGGAATAGTTTCGTGGACATAGAAATATGAGATTAAGGTTTGATGATCCACTGATGTGAACAACAACAAAAAAAAAAGGAGAAGTTCTAGCAGATTATTCCCCGTCCTCAACTGAATTTAAAAACACTTGCCTCCACATCTGAATATAAAAGAATGTTATAAACGGGGTTAACACTCCTGCCTTACAGTTAAAAGGTCACCCATTCACTGGTTTGATCCCAGGTCTTCACGGATGGCTGTGTTTGCTCTGTGTGGTTTAGGCTTTTTTCTGGGTGCTGTTGTTTCCTCCCACATTCAGAAACATGGAGCAGCTGACTGTCCAGGGTGTCGCTGACCTCACTGGGTTTGGGTGTGGTGTTAATGTTAGACCTAAGGCAAAGGAAAAAAACTCTCACTATCCTCACTGTCCTAGATCTGGACAATAACATGACCAGTCACGGCCAAAAAGTCACTGTCATTGGTAAATATCATTGGTACAAGCCAAGGGTCGCAACATGTGGCTCTGGGCCACATGTGGCTCATTTGGCTTTGAGCATTGGCCGAATGGTCAAAATGTGTTTGTGGGACTTGGTGAATTTATTTAGTACAAAAAAAAAAATGTTTGAGGTTACAGATCCCTCATTTAGTCAAGTCGATGAAAAGAGAGTTGGTTTTTGGGGTTTAAAAGTCACAAAACATTTAGTGAACTCTGAACTGGCAACAGAATACTGTAATATTTTTTTTTTTTTTTTTTTTAGTCTAACATTTTCTCTGTTTACCGGCAGTGGGTTTGTCGACAGCACAGCTCCTGTAGAGTGATTCAATTTGAAAGTTGAAATCTAAGAATTAATATGCAGTTAGTACTTGACTGCTGTAACACAACACATGGGAGCAGAGGGGAGTGGCCGTCAGACATGGTTGTCTTATGGATCGGCAGTTGTGGAGACACCACTTTATACTTCAATTAAATATGATCAAATCAACCTGTGCCAGACACCTCGGGGTGACATTCATCACCCGGACATGTGATACTTCCTCACTCCGTCTGCAGCTACGTCTGCACTGTGAGAGTGGAGCAGCAGCGGATGGACCGACGCGGTCTGTGAAGCCCTCAGCTCTGATTGGAGGGTGTAGTTTGTTGACACAGAGCACATATAAATATTATTTTAAAAAATCAAATTATTATTTTAATAATCCAACACTGATTGGTGAGGTTGACCTGTTTTTGTGACTGAAATCCAAGTTCAATATTCCTGTATTTCAGTTGAGTCCAAGTCCGAGTCTCAAATGTTCCACTTCCATTAATATCTAATTGGGTTCAAGACCCCAAGGTGTGGGTTCTGGAAAATCCTGCTCAATCCTGGGCTACACAATAGTTTGTTTAGTGCTCTTGCCTTACAGCAGCAAGATCACTGGTTCAATTCCCGATGGTGACTGAAGGTTGTTCTGTATGGATTGTACAGGTTTTCTCTGGTTTCTTTGAATTCAGAACATTCCAGGATTAGATCAACAGTTCACTCTACATTAGTGTGAATGGATGGTGACTTGTCAAGGGTTTATTCCACCTGTGCTGCGGTTGTTGAAGTATTACTATAGTGTACTACGACACTGGCCGCTCCTCGTTTCCCTCCACTCTTCTGCGTGGCTGCATTCACCTCCATCCCAGAGTCTCGTGGTTAACGCGGCCTCAGCTGCTGAGGATTGTGAATCACGACATCTTCAGCGGTCCGACTTTAAGTGATCAGGTTAGAGTTCTTCCACCATGACTTAAGTTCCACTTCTCCTCCGACACCGAGCCCATCAGGCTACAGCCTTTACTGCGTGGACGTGGACACTGAGAACATATACAGTAGATTGCTTTAATTGAATTTGGAAAGTCCTCCGGTCGGAGTCACCAGAGTAGAGATAATTGCCTTATCCACATCAATGCAGGCCCTCTGCTGGGCTCACTGAAAGGGACTGTAGACCTGCTGTTAGCTAGCAGGATCTGCCACAATCAATTACACAGGCCTTGTTAAGTACCCCTGTGATTTCCTGACTCACCCCGCACACCCCGACAGTGAACTGTGTAAAAGGAACCAAACAACAGCCGCTGAGACAAGCAGCGGTTTCACATCATTGTCCAGCTACAGTGCAATTTGGTGTCTCAAGATAGCTTAAGCTGGCTGAAGTAATGCTACGAGATGCTGCAGGACGAGGTGCCGCTCGTCCTGCAGCTTCTCGGGGGCCTGATGAAGAGGGCTGACCACGCAGAGAACTACATATCTGTGCTGCCTGAGTAGCTGGAGGTCCGCTTTCATCCTGCTCACTCAACCACGAGTCCATTCTTGGCTCAGACGGACACACACACACAACACACACTCTGGAAGGCGAAGCCTGAGCGTCCAAAACCACGTCAGGATCAGGGTGATTGATTTTTCACTCTTGATATAAAAGTAATTTTGGAATCTTTTGATCGGAAGTAAAGTGTGGCAAAATGACTTTTTTTTTTTAAGCTTTAGACGACCAAAAAAAAATCGTCCAATCAGCTCTGATTATGTCATGTAAGGAGCCAATCAGGACATTGTTTGTTTGCCAGAGGGCAGGGCATGTAGACAGATCTACAGGTAGAGTAAACTATATATATATTTATATAAATAATAAACATAAAAGTAAACTATATTACTATTGAAAGAGACTATAAGAGAATGTTCAATAAAATATAGTCCTTTATTAGATGTTAATGATTCCGTTAATGCTGACATATAAACAAATTCCTTTACAGAATCTCACTTAAAGTTTTCAATTAAAAAAAAAAAATCCTTTACAGAATCTCACTTAAAGTTTTAAATTAAAAAAAAAATGTAATGTATTTATTTAAGAAAACACTACACAACACATTTTTGTCTAATGCAATGTAATCACCAGTTAGTAGACTAAATTTATTGTAATACTTTAACAAAACATAAACCAAAATTTAAAATATCTTACTAAGTCAATTGCAACTAAGACTAAGTTACAATTTAGTCAAAAAGACTCAGTCCAGTCCAGATCAACCCTGGAGTCCAAACCCTAGTTTCTTTAGTTCTACTTAGATCTGGACCATGAACGCCTTATTAAAGATACGGAGACCCAGAATAACTCCATCTACACACACGCACACACACACACTGTGTTTGCTGCCACCAAGTCACTGTGTTGCCCATAATGTTTTTCACATGTCAAGTCAACAATGGAAAGAATTGCGGGGCTAAATCTGCAGCAGTGCTGTGGTGAAAGTCAGATTTTCAAGCATGACTCGATCACATCTCTGAAAACCGGGGCCCACGTTGGTCTGGTCCACAGGTTTCCATGCAAATCGCCCATATCTGGTGAGAGGACATCTGGTAGCCAACCAGAACTGTCCCACACTATTTGCCAAGTCCAAGTCCAAATGTCCATGTTGTACTTATGTGGCCCGTCCAAGGCGCCCATTGACATGCTTACTGATGGAGTCCAGACCACATTCACGTAGAGAATTTTTGGAATGTACTGGAAAAGATTGTACACAGCTGTGTGACCTAACCATTTATATTTAAAAAAGAAATGAAACTTTGAATGGATTTAAATGTGACATGGGATTAGTTCATCAACAAACAAAACAAAACCAAGTTGTTATTAGAAG